TTCGTCCTTGATGCTTTATAATTCTTGAGGATTATGAGAGATGAGCAGATGATACAAATAATAAGTGGTCTGGTTGGTTCAATAGTTCTTTTCCTAACTTAACTATTCAATAATCCGGATTTGTTGTACAGAGAACTTTTAACTTTCTTTTCTTTCTTTTTAACTTAACTTTCGCTCAACTTGTAATAAAGTTTCATTTCTGCTACAGATTATACTACAGGGTAATTTTATTATTATTATTATTATTTGTCCTTTGGGTTCCTAATGGAATATACAGCTTCAGTGGCACGTCTCCCTTACACTCTCTTCTCTGAAATCTTTTCAATCTGGCTCCACCACTGCCCACAAACTCTCATTTCCTCCTCACACCATCTCTTCCATGTCACCCTCAACTAAGACGCCCAACTCGTTTCCAGTCTAGGTTCCACTCGATGACCTGGCCTGATGCATGAAGTCCCCGCATGATCTTCTCAGTGTATGCCCAATCCATCTCCACTTCCTTCAACTGCATATTTATTAGGTAATAAGTTCTTGGTTGGTTCGTTCCCACAGTTCCTTGTTGTTTAGTCTCGTTATTCTGGCCATCTGATCTTCAATAACGAGCGTAGGCAGTTGTTGACGAATTTCTGTGGTTTGTTGGAAATCCCTTTCGTAACGCGCAAAGTCTCTGAGCGATACAGAAGCACTGACTTGACTGAATTGGTGTTGAAAATCTGGATCTTGTTCAAGCTTTGTGCTGAGTGCAGTAGATCTCCACACTAGTTTCAGGCTGATGAATGCCTGTCTTGCTTTCCCGATCCTGGCTTTAACGTCCTCGTCTGTGCCGTCTGTAGTTGAAACAGTGCTGCCTAGATAGGTGAAAGAGGCTACTTTCTTTAAATTTCTCCCGTTGATGGTGACTGGAGTTTGTTGTTGTTGTTGTTGGTGGTGGTGGTGGTATTGGTTTGGTATCATCATCACCTCTATCTTCTCTACGTTCACTTGAAGTCCCGTCATCTCTGCCCTGACTCTTCTGTCAACTTGTTATCTTTCGCCTGTACATCTTCAAGTTAGTGTGACTTAACACACAGGTCATCGTCGAAATCTAGATCTTCTAGGTTCTTTTCCTTGGTCCAGCGTATGCCCTTCTCCTTGCTCCTTACTGTTGCATGATTCAGTCGGCCACAATCAGGAATATCATGGGTGATAGCAGACAGCCTTGTTTCACTCCTGTCCTCACTTCAAAAGCATCACTGAGCTTCCCATTGTGAATTACTTGGCCGGCATGTGGCATCTTCATATAGTTGTTGAGTGAGGCTGATAGAGGTTTGTGGTATTCTGTAGTGTTGAAGCAGTTTCCAAAATACTACTCGGTCGAAGCTGTCGAGGGTCTTTTTAAAGTGGATGAAGTTGAGGTAAAGACCCAGTTGTACTATGATGATGTGTACCGTAGCGTTGCAAATTGATCCACACATGATTTGTACTTCCTGAAGGCAACCAGCTTGTTCCGGTCGTAGTTTTGAATCCAGCGCATCTTTTAGTCTCTTGAAGATGATGCGGCTTAATATTTTGCTTGGGGTGGAAAAGAGCCTGATTCCTCGCCAGTTCTTGCAAACAATTAGGTCGCCCTTCATCAGGGGTTTGACAAGGTAGCCTTTCTTCCAGTCACTAGGCAGATACCTTCCCTTCCTTCCAGACCTTCTACAATAGTGATGTGAGCATGTCCACTGTTGCCTCTTTATCTGCTCTCAGTACCTCTGGCCGGATTCCATCTGATCCTGCTGCTTTCCTACATTTCAGTAGCTTTATGGCACTCAGGACTTCGACTTTCATCTGAGGGCTTGTGTTCACTTGTAGTTCTGCGGCTGCAGGTGAAATGTCTTGAAGAAGTGCAGGCGGTGGTGGTGATCGATTCAAGAGCTTGTTGAAGTAGTCAGCCCACTGTTTTCTTTGTTTCTCTTCTTTGGTAATTAAATTTCCGTCATCATCTTTTACTGGTTTCATCTGTGTTGATCTCTTCCCTCCCAGATAGTAACCTGGATGTTTGATACAATGTTATAAGGTTTCACCTACCTGCAGCCTGTTCTGCTTCACTTGCCAGTGTGTCGTGAAAGTGTCTTTTGTCTTTGCACACACTCTTCTTCACTTCTTTGTCCAGTGTATTGTTTTGTACATTGTACTCAGTTCTTCCTCTCTTTGAGCATCCTTGCACTGGTTTATCTTCTGCTTCACCTCCTCCTCTCCCTGCTCTATAAGCTTCCATGTTTCCATCGAGATCCATTCCTTATCTTCTTCCTTCCTAATACGGTTATGCAGGTTTCTTTCCACTAAGCTTTCAACGAGTTCCAGTGCTCATCCATACAGGTTTCTTCAGGGATGTTCATCGATATCTCCCATTTTGTCTTTATGGTAGCTGTGAAGATGTCCTTTGTGGTTTCGTCCTTCAGTTTGTGTTCTGGGTGTTGAACTTGAACTGTGCTATATCGTCACCAACTTTCTTGAAGGCTTTCAAGTTGATTTCGCATTTAGGTTCCTTGCACTATATATTGAGTTGTGTGAACCAGCTACATCTGCTCCCCTTCCTCATCTTGTGTCGAGTAGACTGCGTCTCCCCTTTCTTCTGATTGAGATGGAGCCTACCTGATTTTTAGTGTAGTGTGTCCATCTAGTAAGATCGAATCCATCTCGCTTTGTGGATATCCTTGTGTTTGTACACACTGTCCCCAATCACCAAGTCACTGAAAGCACAGAAGTCCGCAAACAGTTCCCCATCCCCATTAATTTCACCGAGTTTTTCTTGACCCATGACTGGTTCTCTTCCTGTGTTGTCTGCTCCGAGTTTGGAATTCATGTCATCACATACATTGGAGTTTTGATGTTACTATATGGGGGTCTTGTCCACTGCTGATTGCAGTTGTCTGTAGAATTCCTCCTTTTCCTCTTCATCCGCATTACTTGTGGGTACATAGAGTAGCATTGTATGGTTGTGACCTTCCTTCATTTTCAGTTGAATCCATCTTGCTCTCATGATCCTGATCTTGCAGGAGGAGATTGGTTCCCACTGCATGAGAGCCTTCGATGTTTTCGGAGACATCATGATGGCCACTCCAAAACTCAGTGTGCTCGTGGTTGCGGTGTGGGTGACAATATCGGAGTAGATAATTGACTCGTATCCAGTTGACAGTTTGAAGAGTTCACTTCCATTCCACACGCTTTCGCAGATTCCAGGCACTTCCATGCCATATCTCTTCATCTCTTTCGCAATCTGGGCAGCCTTGCTAGGTTTGAACATGGTTCGGACATTTCATATCCCCATCCTTACTTTCGCTTTTATCGAGAGGGAGGAGACACATCGGTCGACTGGTTTCCCGAAGGCTTTCATCAACCGGGGTCATTTTGTTTCTCCGATTCCAGCGAGGAATCATTTTTATTATTATTATTATTATTACTTTATTATTTTATATTCTGCATGTGCTTTGAAGCTTCTTTAGCGGTTAGATTGGTTTTCTGGGATGGGGTTGCTACCCGTATGCCCAACCTCCTTTCTTTATCTATGCTTAGGACCTGCTAGTAACTAATAAACTAGGTAACCAGGCGAGGTTACCTACAGGGTAAATAAATAACTAATATTCAAAATTATTTCAATACAAGAGTCACGTAATAATGAAATTCTTTTTCGTAGACATTTCTTTACCTAGATGAAGTCCGACTACAGATTCATGACTCATGTATACCGTATCTCGTTTAGGTTTGGGAGTTGGGTTCATCCTAATACCACTGGTTTATTTTGCACCTCAGTGTTGCATGAAGCGCTTATCTTACCGTGCATGTCTTTTATTTGCTAAACAGTATTAGACCACAAGTTGCAGTCGTGCTGAAAAATGAATTATTTTGACGGTAATACTGAAATAGTTATCATGTACAAGTTGTTTATTAAAAATGCTCTATTTTTAAGACAAGATTGGATGTCATGTTGCTACATTTTATTTATATAACATGTTCATAAAGATATATCCTGGAACTTAAAATACCTACTGGTGGTATTCAGTTCATTGTGTTAGCAGAGTACCGCAAAATGTAACTTATATTTCTTATGAAAAGCAGTATAAACTCAGTTAAAAATAGAATGTCTACGTTTTTCCAAAAATTTAGAACAACATAATTTCTGCTGTCGGCATTTTCGAGACGCTGTTCATTGTCAGCCAGTTTCCTGAAGAAAAGTAGATCAATTGCGATACATTTATTCTGTTACTGCTTTCATCTCATCCTTGTAGAGCCTTTCACTCTTGATTTACTGAAATGTATTCTATTTTCTCTGTTTGTTTTCTACTAAAGAATGAGGAGTCATAAAAAAACATTAACATTTAATGAAACAAATGAAAAACCAATGAGCGCTAGGATATATTCATAGTTAGTAAAACTCGTTAAACAATAAAATGAATTTCTTCAATTTTCGTAGATAATGCAGTTTGCTTTCTGGCTTATCTAAATAGGCATACACATAAGTAAGCCGCAAATAAATTTTTACACACTGTTAAAAGCATAAGTAGTATATCCACAGTCAACACAAAACACTCAAACCTGTCACACATCAGTTTTACTGATAGCGTTATTCAAACAGTCCTGTTTCAAGGCATCAAACTGATTTTCATGTCCCATTTCATTGGGGAGTTGAAAACAATCAGAACAGTTGAAGTATGAAATTTTTCAGAGTAATAAATACAACCTTAATCACTAATTTTTCTCTTCACATTTTTTTGGACTCATAAAACTGAATCATATAAATGTTCAGTATTTTCTACTCATACTATCTTTTACCTTTATGTATTAAATAAGCAGTTATATTTCTAGACAAAATAGTCATAATGAAGAATTATTAATTATTTTAACGGACATTATTAATCCAGAAATACAAATGAACAGTATATACGTAGTAACATCGTGATAATAACTTACTTCTATTGCTATTTTTTTCGAAAGTGAATAAGAATTTATTTATTTTTATTCCCGTTAACTTGTAGATATGTTCGTTGCAATTGGTGGAATTTTACCTGAAATCATTTGGAATATTACAGTTGTATTTTATGCGCCTACATTTGTATGCAAACTTGTAAAGTACATGTCTGTAAGTGATATTTATTATGATTATTGGTTCATTTCATAAGAAATTAACAAAAGATTAACTAACACATGACAATATTTACATCTATTTATTCTAATGACCTTGATAATATTGGCGAATGATTCAAAAACGAGTTGAAACAAGAACAACTGTTTATCATGTCAATCATTATTAAAAAACCAACAATGGAATATTGAAAAGCTAGTTGTAAAGGAGTTTTAGTATATTTTCTTGGAAAAAACTACTCAATACTAACTAATTATTATTTTGGTGTAGAAACGATTTTCCCTACTTCTACATATATTTTCAAGGGACTGATATATAAATCAAAGTTTATGGGCATAAAAGTGTTGTACATTATTCTCTGTCATTAGACAACGTTATAATTAAATTGCTAGACCATAATCATTTGGATATTCCTAACAAACTTTTTATACATCATTCTTTATAATTGACGGATATTTCGACGAATCGCAGCAGTATGCCACTGTGTGATAGTTTATAGAAAAAGTGCAAAAACAGATATTTGAGACTGAATGTTATACTGGCAGCAGTACTTTTACTGCTGCCATACGTGATACAATTTACAGCTCATAATCATTCTCTAGTGAAATTTGCACAACACAGCAGTGATTTCAAATTATTTCACATCTATAAACTGTAATCGGAATGTAAGGTAAAGTGAGTTTAATAAGTGAGGTATTATTTTAACTATCAGAAATAGCCATAGTTTGGCAGATTAGTCTTGATACTGGGTGATGATTGAGAGTAAAATGGAAATTTTGGTCGTAACCGGATTCGAACCAGCGACCACTCGGTTTCCAGCCCGGTGCTCTTCCAACCCAGCTACCATGCCTGACTCTTGAACAGATTCTTGCTTCACTTCAATCAACGATGGTTTGCCTAGACTACCATGTAAACCCATGGTACATTACTACTACTCGGTCGTACTTACACTGGCTGCCTAGTCAGGACTTCTCATTTCAATCCAAATCTAAACGAACTGGAGAAGAGAAGCATCATATTGCTTATCATTGCGACTATCTAGAATAGCCGTGGTTTGACGGGTTAGTATTATTGATGGTGATGGTTGAGGTACCGACTAAACACTTCAAATATTTGATTGTTTGTATTTGAGCAATTGCGGCACAAAGAAGTTCCTCAGGATTAATATTTCTGAATAAACATAAAATAAGAATTTGTTATCAAACGGTGGTTGCAATAACAGTTGTGAACTGAATCTATGCAGAATTATCCCTTCAAGAAATAAGGATTGTGTAATGAAATTTAACACCGTTCCAGCGGAAACACACAAGCAACTTGGTCTTTACAGATAATATGCATCAATCTTGAGTATAGAAGTAACTTTTTTCCTGTCTATCTTCACTGTTAACTCAAAAGTCTGAAGTCGTTAGGTGAATAACTGTTAACAGCTTGTTCAGCTTTTGTACAGAGGAACTAGAAAAAAAGTTTAAGTATGTTTTCGATCATCTTACTTAGTCTGTTTGTTCTTTTCTCATCTAGTTACATTTTCAATGTGTGACTATCTGTCGTCTTGCAAGATAAATATTTTCATATTGACAATAAGTAAGAATAAATTATTTCATTCTTCAAAATACAGGCATCTTACGTCTTCAGGTATTTTATGTGTGAACATCAAAATAAATAATGATGAAGTCTACGACTTTTAAGGAATAATTTATTTCTCTAAAGATCAAATTGGCTAGCTATAACTATTCGTCTAACTGCATATTGCCTCTAACTTGAGGACTGTGGAGGGTATTCCTCCTTTTTTTTGTCGAATACAATCAAGTGATTAAGCACAACCATTTCAAGTAATACACTACCAAGTTATTACACTAAAAGCACTTGCGAAAGCTTTTAGTTTATTTTTAACCGTCAGCTTATACATTTTAACGGTAGCCAGCTATGTATGAGTCCTGTTGACTGCCAGTTATTAGTGGTTATTATTTTCGAGCCTATCTGAATTTCCTACCCAACAGTTCAACAAATGATCAACTGGCAAGAGAGTATGTTTGAATTATGAACTTCCTGGTTGTTTTAACTTTGAATTGAACTCCGTACACTGGTATTGCACTCGAACAATCTTAGGTGATCAACATTAAACGGTGATTATGTTTCTTTGCCAGTTGCGTATTGGGTTCCGTCGACAAAGCACCTTTAAGTTGTATTTGTATTGTAGATGACAATAACAATCAATACTGACTTTTTTAGGATAAACAGACTTATTCCCACTCAGTTTTTCATTTAGTTTAAAGAATCCCATACAATGAATATCAGGTCGAATAGAAATCTCGTAGTAGTTGGACACGGACGACTCAGTTGTCTGAAATCAAAAATCATGCAAAATCAAGATGAGAAGACGTCAAAAGAGTAGGGAATACGGAGAAAGCACTATTACAACCATACAAGCAGTTGAACGCCACCCGAAATGAGATGAGATAACTTGTTGAGGTTGAGGAAAAGATTGAAACCGAAGCTTTGGGTATTGTATCAACATGAAATATGCATAACACGAACGACTTGACCCATTTTCAGATTTTTAGAATATTCTGCCACTCATATTGAGACGTTTGAGGGAATTTGTGCTGCACAAAACATGTCTCGAAGTTATGAAGTTACCTTGCTATCACAAAGGACAGAAAACTGCAATCAAAGCCTAATTGAATAATAATTCTGTTTCATTATGATATTCATCCACTCAAAAGTAAAGTCTGAACTAGTTGGAGTGTTGCCACTTGTGATTTTTGAGATTTCTATACTGCGCTTTTTCATACCCTTAAAAATGCTATCAGAAAATTCGTTACATTCCCATCTCTTAGGATTGTCATTTGACTTGACATTAGATATAGATTGTATTTGTGTAAGTCACAAAGGGTTTGAAACCAAATAATTCCAACGTTTCACAAGGAAGTCTGGTGCGAGATTCTTCAGAAAAATAATCAAAATTAAATATCAAGGATATATAAATGAATTCGAAAACGTGTATTTAATCTCCTTATCCAATCCTCTTCTATAGTCATTGTCTTTCTAAATTATGATAACTAATCATTCAGCATAACCTCGCCTGGTTAACTAGTTTACTAGTTACTAGCCGGTCCTAAGCCCGGGTAAAGAGGGAAGGTTGGGCATAGGGCTAGCAACCCTACCCCGTAAAACAAATCTAACCGCTAAAGAAACTTCAAAGCACAAACAAAATATAAAAAATGAAAACAAACTTATTCCCCGCTGGAATCGGAGAGGCGAAATGACGCCAGTTGGTGAAAGCCTTCGGGAAGCCAATTGGCCGATGTGTCTTCTCACCCTCGATGAAAGCGAAAGTAAACGTGGGGACATGGAATGTCCGCACGATGTTTGAACCCAGTAAGGCAGCCCAGATTGCAAAGGAGATGAGAAGGTATAACATCGAAGTGCTTGGGATTTGCGAAAGCAGATGGAATGGGAGTGGACTCTCCAAACTGTCAACTGGAGAATCAATAATCTACTCCGGTATTGCCACCCAGACGCCAACCACGAGCACACTGAGGGAGTGGCTATCATGATGTCCTCAAGAGCATCGAAAGGCTCTCATGCAGTGGGAACCAATCTCCTCATGCAGGATCATGACAGCAAGATTCAACTCAAAAGGAAGAAAGGTCACAATCATACAATGTTATGCACCTACAAATAATGCAGAGCAAGAGAAAAAGGAGGATTTCTACAGACAACTTCAATCAACACTGGACAAGACGTCAGTTGGCGATATCAAAATTCTAATGGGCGACATGAATGCCAAACTGGGAGGGGACAACACGGGAAGAGAACTAACCATGGGTCGAGAGGCGCTAGGTGAAATGAATGAGAATGGAGAATTGTTTGCAGAATTCTGTGCATTCAACGATTTGGTGATTGGAGGCAGTGTGTTCAGGCACAAGGATATCCACAAAGCGACATGGACTTCACCAGATGGACACACTAAAAATCAAATCGACTTTATCTCAATCTCAAGAAAATGGAGACGCAGTCTACTTAACACAAGGTCAAGAAGAGGAGCAGATGTAGGTTCAGACCACTATCTAGTGCAAGGAACCTTCCAAATCAAGTTAAAAGCCTTCAAGGAAGCTGGTGATAGACCTCAATTCAAGTACAACACTCGGAAACTGAAGGATGAAACTACAAAGGAGATCTTCAAGGCAGCCAGCCATCAAGACAAAATGGGAGACGTCGAGGGACATCCCTGAAGAAACCTGTGTGGAAGAACACTGGAAGTCTTTGAAAGCTATGTGGAAAGAAACCTGCACAACAGTATTAGGAAGGAAGAAGAAAGAAGACAAGGAATGGATCTCGACGGATACCTGGAAGCTGATAGAGGAGAGGAGGATGGTGAAGCAGAAGATAAACCAGTGCAAGGATGCTCAACGACAAGAGGAACTGAGCACAATGTATAAAACACTGGACAAAGAAGTGAAGAAGAGTGCACGCAAAGACAAAAGACACTTCTACGACACACTGGCAAGTGAAGCAGAACAGGCTGCAGGTAAGAGAGACCTGACGACATTGTATCAAATAACCAGGTTGCTATCAGGGAAGAGACCAACACAGATGAAACCAATAAAAGATGAAGAAGGAAATTTAATTACAAAAGAAGAGAAACAGAGGAAACGATGGGCCGACCACTTCAAGAAGCTCTTGAATCGACCACCACCTGCACTTCGTCCAGAAATACCACCTGCAGCCGCTGAATTACAAGTGAACATAAATCCCCCAACGAAAATGGAAGTCCTGAACGCCATAAAGCTACTGAAATGCGGGAAAGCAGCAGGACCAGATGGAATACCGCCAGAAGCACTGAGAACAGATGCAGAGACAACAGCGGACATGCTCACACCACTATTGCAGAAGGTGTGGAGGGAAGAGAAGGTACCTGACGATTGGAAGAAGGGTTACCTTGTCAAACTGCCGAAGAAGGGAGACCTCAGTGCTTGCAAGAACTGGCGCGGAATCACTCTCCTGTCCACCCCAAGTAAAATATTAAGCCGCATCATCCTGGAGAGGCTTAAAGACGCACTGGATTCAAAACTGCGACCGGAACAGGCAGGCTTCAGGAAGTACAAATCATGTGCTGACCAAATTGCAACGCTTCGTATCATCATAGAACAGAGCGTAGAATGGCAATCAGCTCTATACCTCAACTTCATCGACTTTGAGAAGGCCTTTGACAGCGTCGACCGAGAAGTAATTTGGAAACTGCTTCAATACTACGGAGTACCGCAAACCTTTATCCGCCTCATTCAACAACTATATGAAGATGCCACATGCCAAGTAATCCACAATGGGAAGCTCAGTGATGCCTTTGAAGTGAAGACAGGAGTGAAACAAGGTTGCCTACTATCCCCCATGATATTCCTAATTGTGGTGGACTGGATCATGCAGCAAACAGTAGGCAGCGAGAAGAGGGGGATACACTGGACGACGGAAAAGAACCTAGAAGACTTGGATTTCGCCGATGACTTATGCCTAATGTCACATAAACTTGAAGATCTGCAGGCAAAAACTAACAAGTTGACAGAAGAGGCAGCTAAGACGGGACTTCAGGTGAATATAGAGAAGACAGAAGTGATGAAGATACCGCACCACCACCATCAACAACAACAACAACAACTCCAATCACCGTCAACGGGAGAAACTTGAAGGAAGTAACCTCCTTCACTTATCTAGGAAGCACTGTTTCAACTACAGGCGGGACGGACGAGGACGTCAAAGTCAGAATCGGAAAAGCAAGACAGGCGTTCATTAGCCTGAAACCAGTGTGGAGATCTTCTGCACTCAGCATGCGGAACAAGATACGGATTTTCAACACCAACGTCAAGTCAGTGCTCTTGTATGGCTCAGAGACTTGGCGCGTCACGAAAGGTATTTCCAATAAACTACAGACATTCATCAACAACTGCTTACGCTCGCTGCTGAAGATCAGATGGCCAGAAAAAATAAGCAACAAGGAACTCTGGGAACGAACCAACCAAGAACCTATCACGCAACAAATATGCAGGAAGAAGTGGAGATGGATTGGCCATGCACTGAGAAGGCCAACTGAGGACATCACGCGTCAGGCCCTCGAGTGGAATCCCCATGGGAAGCGACGAGTTGGACGTCCGAGGGTGACATGGAGGAAGTCGTGCGAGGAGGAAATGAGAGCTTCTGGGCTGTCGTGGAACCAGGTTCAAAAGATCTCAGAGAACAGAGGTCACTGGAGGCGTGCTACTGAAGCCCTATGTTCCACTAGGAACCCAAGGGACTAATAATAATAATATAATAATAATCATTCAGCATGAACTATGCTTAAAGCAGATCCCACAAACCTCAGCAGAGGTTAAGAAAGTAGAAAACAAATCCACGATAGCGCTACACTCCATAGAAATGGGATACAAAATTGACTTTGATGGAACTAAGGTTCTACAAAAAGGTTTTGGGTCATACCAAGAAAGACTAACAGCCGAAGCCCTATACATATGGGCGAATCCAGTCAGTTTGAACAGACGAAATGGAGTACAGTTAGCTGCCTCTTAGGAATTACTGATTAGTAAGCAGAAAGAGTGATTCAAAACATTTACTGTCAGCACGATTCTACACTCCATTATTTCTGCATCAACAACAGCACAACCTGGACTGATTTGATTCATTATTACTATCATCATCACCTTCATTACTAACACTCATTTCTACTCTATTCCGGTAAATCATTGTGAATAAAATTCGCTAACACTATTCACCACTTTACTTCAGCTGAAATTGTATACACATCCACCTCATTCTTTTCAATTTGTACTTATAAAACTACCGAATGACTATCACCAGTTCCCTTTTTGTCTGATATTTACAATCAAGACAAATATGAATTGGAGTATATGCATATATACTCCATACAACAAAAGACATGCAATTTCACACTAAATGATTAGTTATCATAATTTAGAAAGACAATGATTATAGAAGAGGATTAGATAAGGAGACTAAATACACGTTTTCGAATTCATTTATATATCCTTGATATTTTAATTTTGATTATTTTTCTGAAGAATCTCGCACCAGACTTCCTTGCGAAAGGTTGGAATTATATGATTTCAAACCCTTTGTGACTTACACAAATACAATCTATATCTTACCTCAACCTTTTACTCAGCGCCGTACTATACGATCAAATCTTGATCACAGTTCATATAAACGTCATTTAACGTGCCTGGAGATTCGAATATTTTCCGCTACTCAGTGTTTAAACGACTCATCAGTACCAATTGTAGTTTACTATCCTCACGATGCCTTATTTAATCATTCTTAATAACTTCACGGTGGACAGAAATGCATTTCTTCACGTAAAGTCAAACACTAAATTCGATTAACGACAAAAATTAATTTCCATTGAGTAACGTTTTGTATAATTTCAGACTACAATAACATACGGTAGCTCATTCGCTTTGATAGCATTGAGCATTGATCGTGCAGAGGCTGTTTGCAGGCCGCTTCGTGCAACCTCTTCGAAATTCAGTAAAAGTAAGCACATATTTAAACATTATATTCCCTTTTGGTGTTATGACCTTGGAGAGAATTTCAGTTAGCCTTTTTTCTTGTTTCCCTTCAAGTTCTCTGAGAATATTATATTATTATGCGCGAGGTATATTCTCTCTTATCAGGCAAGTGTGGCTATAAAATGTAAAGCCGAAATGAGTGGTATTTGAGAGTTTATAGAATTAAGCATCTGTCAGAAAATTTTTATTTTTGTTTAACAGCTGCTTAAACAAGGAGCAACAGTCATCTTTATCATCAGGTTATGTTCATTTTGTTAGAAAAATTGGATTTTAAGGCTTTGTGAATGGATGTTTTGTTATTGAGAACGGTTCAAGAGTAGAAGAATTTCATTTATTTCACTCTGTTTACTTAAAACAAATCGGAAGTAAGGATGAATCCAATTTAACATTCATAAATATCGTAAACATAACCTAAAGAATAAATTTGCGCTAAGTTGCTAATGGATAATGATAATTTACTGAAAAATGGAAGCCATTGCCATCCACTACTACCTAAATTTCCACCACAACTGTGAAAACAATTTAGAAACAGCATTCAGATAAAGCAGATATGAAAACAAAATAAACACTTTAGAATTCTCAGTTGAGAAATCGTTACACTTTCAAGTTCAATAGAAAGGAAATGAAGTTAAAATTTACCTGAACCTCAAAGTATATACTTTGAAAAGAGTGAATAGGCTGAGTGAATTTTCTACCCTTTAGTATTCAGATTGAATTACCTATTCCTTGATCGAATACGAATTATTTTGTTGTTTTTGAAATTTTCACATATTTCATCAGCATTATGATTTGAATTACCTTTTGGGTATTCAATAATAAACAGAGACGTGACAGTCCTGATTTAGCTCCCTGGTTTTGGTCGTTAATGCACATTTCTGAGCAGTCTCATGTTTGAACGAAACAGCCAGCCAACGTTACCAGGTTTCCAGGATTTCTCTAGATGATTTTAGTTGATGAAGAATGCCATATTTTAGTTAAACTATCCCATACTTCCTCAAACTACTCTTTTTACGAGGAGAAAAGATACGAGTTGTTGATCATGAGTCATTACAAACTGTTCTATTAGTAGTGGTATAATTTGTTTATTTTAATGATGTATGGTACAAACGGGTGTAGCGGTGGTAGCTTTCTCACTGTCAACTCTAGGTATTATACTAAAACGAAGTCAATGTCTAAAAAACAATCTGAAAAGTAGGTTTAAAAACTGTTTTTATTGTTCATCAGAAGTCAGTTTATGCTTCTATGAAAATATTCTACACTGTTCGTCATTAATTTAGTCTAGGTTGATTTTTATATCTTACACTATTAAAGTACATGCTTCTAGACCCAAGTTATGCAAAAAGACTTTAGTAAGTCTAGTGATTTACAAAGTTTCTACCCATAAGAATATATCCCTACTTAAGTTTTGGAAAGCCAGATACTTGTTAGAAGGATCAATCCAAACTTTTTAACTGCGGAATATCGAAAATTTTCATTCGGTTACTTTAAAGTAATTGTTATGCATACGTTTCATGCTAGGACGGGTTGAAAAGTTGATATATTTATATAAGAAGTTCAAGAAACCACTTGTTTAGTGGAATAGGATTGAAGAATGTAATACATGCGGTGTTTGAAAATGAATTTCAAAAACAAGCAATGATCTCAGCACCTGAAGTGTGCCACAATATTGCTACACCAACCTTTTATACCTGATACTTACACTATGCTCAATGAGACAAATTATCTTCTTTAAAACAATTTATTTGCAACAAATGTTTCGACAGATACTTCTATTTAATTACAACGATCGGATACTGGCACAGCAGGAATGATAATGACTTACATAAAGTACGATTTAAAAGTTTCTGTTTTCACACCGTCACTACAATCAAGGTATCTAATAAAATTTCGTTATATCTGCACTTTTACATGACATCTAAATTCTCAACATTCGTCCTTCTTCAGGGCATCAAATCTTGTAGGGCGTGCGTTTGATATGAAGTCTATTTCTCGTATATCTTCATACTGTACTCTATAACTTCATATCATGAAAACTAGGGAGTTGTTGAAAATCAGTCACTGACTGGTTTTTGTAGGATTTTGCAAGTTCATGTGGAGGAGTTTTACCACACAAAAGGTTTCGCACTTTGTGTCACTCACCAGCAAAATGTTTCAGCAACCATGAGTATACTGGTGTTAAATTGGGGATTCGACCTGCATCACACAATACTGAAAATACCGACTAACTACTTTGTAAGAATGAACTATGTATATGAACTGATTAATGGTGACTAAATAGCCTAGCTTTACAATGGGTTTTTGTTTCAAAACATTACTGCTGGGAATGGAAGAGAAATTTAGTATTGATTTTTATTTTACAGATCTCCTAATGTCTCAGAAATTAAGTTTTTACTGCATGAAGCATAGGTGAAAAAAATAGAGTCACATCGCCTTATGTGAAGTTCAGTGGAAGCCTACGACCAGAGATTCAAAAAATCTTTAGTCTATAAATAACAACAGATTTCTGTTGCAAAAGGAGTAGGTATCACAGAACAGTATCTTGGTGGATGATACTCTTGAGATTAAAGCGGTAAATACTAGGCCAGAGTCACAACGAGATCATCATCACATGCTGAAATGTTAGGATGAGGGGCTTATGACATCCAGTTGTGATGGAACGTGCATCCTGGACTTCACCGCCAGCTACCATCCACCAAAACATAACAAGAATAACAATCAGTCAGTATCAAAGTATCCACTAAGAAGCCCGTAAGTTGAATGGATAGACTGATGCGATCAAATACAACAGTATGATAAAAAAATTGTAAACGAATAGGAAGTTTCTTTCGTTTCACACATCAGCAGATTGTAATTTAATTAAAGCGTAAAATGAAAACCTGATATAATACTAACTTAACATTTGATACACTGATTTAAGTTTCTAAGAGACTTCGGTGTCTACACTGGTGGGAGGAAATGATGAGCACCTCAAGCTATTCAGTATTTTATCAACATTAATTTCAGTCCATGTACACTTTGGAAGTATTCCTAATCATATCTTTGGTAATGAATTAGTAAATGTGCGAATTAGGTTTCTTATGATTAGAAACTCATCGAATAAAAATCTCCTATTAAAATGTCTTCGTCTTTTTTGAACGATGTACCGCCTTTCTCCATTTACACTGATTAGTCTAAGTAGTTTTTATAAGATGATTTATCTGGATTTTACATCATTAATTTACAGTTTTCTAAGGGGCTAGAACTAAAATCACGTTTATTTTCACAGACTAGACTTGAAGTTTGTTCAAAACTTCGTTAATTTTATATCAACGTTGACTTTAACTCTATTGTTTCTGAATCTGTTCATTACAATCAAGAAGAAGCATGAGTTTAATTATATTTATCTAGTTCGGCAGCTTGGCAATAAGCGCAATAAACAACCTTTAAGGAATAGAAAATATAATTTGGTAATGATAGTTAAATGTAGTTAGAAAACAATAAGAAATAGTTACTCTTTATTGAAAGAACATTTTGAGACAAACGTGGTATACATGAGCTCACCCATCTGAAAGAATTTTTAAATATTCTAAAGTTAAGGAAATTTACATATATGGCAGATATCATTTTACGTGTACTAATAAAAGTTTTCTGTCAAACTTATATTTGTAAACTTCTCCTGAATGTTTCGCCGCTTACTTTCATCAGAAATCATCATTTGACTGCTAAATACCTAAATAATAATTAAGTATATTGAACTCAGTCATTTTTCTCAAAGTAAACTTCCTAACTGATTTTAATAATTAGTTACCGACTGCATTGATTTTAAAAGGTATTAATTTCATTTAGTCGTTATAAAATATTTTAATATTTGAAGAAACGCACGCTTTGATGTTGATTGGATCTGCATGGTTTGCAGCAATGCTTTGTGGTATACCAACTGCATTTCTTGCACAAAAGGTGAATGAAGGAACTCAGTATGAAAATTGCCGATTTGATTTTAGTCGAATTAGTCCACAGGTAAGCTGTTACTTGCAATTTTGGTTATTCTTAACTAAAAAAGCTTTCTTTAATCAGCCAGAGTCTTAACATTTAGCAAAACGGTTGAGTTCATTTAAACATTTTCAAGTTTGATTGTATTATTACTATTATTTTTCCTTTAGGCTCCTAGTGGAACATAGAACTTCAGTAGCACGCCTCCATTGCACTCTCTTCTCTGCAGTCTTTTCAACCTAGCGCCAAGACTGCACAAGAGCTTCCATTTCTTCCTCATATGATCTCCATGTCTACGTCTATTTGAAGAAGCACGCATATATCACGTTACAAGAAGGGTAAACATTCTCTCTGTGGATAAATAGCTTCGTAACCTTGCTTGCTTCCCATAATAACTATCGTCAGTGCTAGAAAAGAAGCTTATAACTTTCTCTGTTACTAAATTGTATTCTCAGTATTGTTTTGAGGAAAATTTGCCCCTAAATGTTGTTTTGTCATACAGAGTTACGATCACCTGATGTCTTGTTTTCAATATACGTTTATACACAGGACCTGAATAATCCCACATTCCCCTGTTTTCTACTAGAAATAAGAAAGCTATTTGAATCAATGTCACTAACAGACATGATTTGAAAACATCAGATAAAGACTAACCTCTCACTCAGAATACTTCAGTAGTGAATTTTGATACAAGTAGGTATAATAAATAAGTAAACTTAGAAACTCACTAATTATGGTTTTCAATTGTATTACTTGATATTACTTTCAAAGCAAACTCTTGATAAGGGTTGAAAATGAATAAAAACGTAATGAATGTGCTGTTGTCATTTAAATTACAGGAGAAAGATGACTGAGTAGTCAATCACTACTTATATCAAAATGATGGCGTTTTTTTTATTTGAAACTATGAAAAGGTTTCTTCACTGATTGTAAACAATACTTTAGACCGTTCACGTGATCACTAGATATATATTAATATTAGATGCTTAGAATCAGTCTACTATTAGCATCGCTTGACTATTGTTTATTCCCTGGTACCACATTTCTGTCGGCAGTAAGGTGGGTCTGTAACACTTAGCTAACCAGTGTACGTTTCGTTATTTAAAATGCATCACAACCCTTAAGTCATAGACTTAAGTAATAGGCTATCTAAACCAAGACTGAACGCGTATGGTTGTCTACTTCTTGATGCCTAGCTCTGATCGGTGAACAACGATTTCACTGATCACCTACTGGTGAACAAGATATATGTGTATATATAACTACTTAGAAAATCCCAATTGGCTGAGACTTCCATGAGAGTTTGGTTAAAACTGACGCTTAACTGAGGTATGGGGAGGATAACTTACTGTAACTGGTATTGATCAGCAAATTATAAACTAAGTAGCATGAAATGTTCAAACCGTCAAGCAAGTTAAATCACAATCCTAAGAGGTGGAAGAGTAACGAAGGTTCCGATAGCATTCTTTAGGATGTCAAAAATTGTTGTTTAGAAATCTTTAAAGATTGCGAGTTGCGACCCAACACCTAATTCTTATTTTATTTATTTGTTATGTGTATCACACGGTTAAACAACACTTTTACTCAATTACTTGTCGTACTCAGCTATCTTTACTTACTCCTAACATGGTAACGGTTCAAATACCCACCTCCCTTTGGGATGAAAGGTAGTCGAATTATTTACGCACCCGAAAAATGTCTTAAGTCATTCTTGTTCCACATTTTTCGCATAAATTTCAGTTTTTAACCTCCCTGTGACACTATTCAGTCAATAGGACTATCTTTTTGTCCCATTCAATTGCATGGTGAGGTGCAGTTGCATTTATAGCGATAACCGAGTATTTTTCAAGATTTCTTACTTCATCAAGATTTACTACTCTTTAATTGGCATAACATTTGTACTCAAACAACCTAGATGACCATAGGCAATTATTTCTGACATGTATTTGACCTCCTAAACATTGCAGTCGACCTGTTAAAATAAGTGAATCTGCGTAATTGGAACAACAAGATCTATGGCCGTAGAAAGTTTGCTTTTGAGTAATTTTGCAGGTTTGAATGTCACTCTAATAAACGATTTCTTCTGGATGATGTTGACGCTTCGTACATGCCTTCCTCATTAGTATAAGTGCAAAAGTTTTGAATTTTTAAAAATTTATTTTTGTAGAAATTATCATCCAAGACAGTTAAGCCCACTCATGACTGCAATAAAAAAAGGAAGTTCACCTTCTAAACATGATATATTTCCTAGTACAGATATTGTTTGGTTGAATATATTGTTCTTAAGAAAATAATATCTCCGCACCAGAACTAACACAAAAACTGCACACATGATTGCGCAATATTCCGTTGTATTTATTGATATATATATATATATATTGCACTCTCTTCTCTGCAGTCTTCTCAACCTGGCTCCACGACTGCCAATAACCTTTCATTTCTCCCTCACAGCATCACCTCCATGTTACCCTTGGGACGCTGAACTTGTCATTTCCCATTTGGGTTCTACTCAACGGCCTGACCCGACTCGTGATGTCCCCAAAACGGTCTTCTCACTGTTTGTCAAATTCAGTCCATTTTCACTTCCTCCTGCATATTTCTTGGGCGATAGCTTCTTATTGGCTGGTTGGTACGCCATAGTTCCTTATTGCTTATCCTTTTTGGCCATCTGATCTTCAGTATCAGTCCACCACAATCAGGAAGATCATCCGTGATCGTCGGTGGCAGCCTTGTGTTAATCCTGTCTTCACTTCATTACTCAGCTTTCCTTTGTGAATCACTTGGCATGTAACATCATATAGCATATAGCAGTTGAATGGGGTTGATAAAGGTTTGTGACACTAAAACCACAGTTTTGAAGCAGCTGCTAAATTACTTCTCGGTCGACGTTGTTGAAGGCCTTTTCAGAATCGATGAAGTTGAGGTGAAGATCCAGCTGACTGCTATTTTATACTCTGTTCTTTGGTGATGCGTAGGGTTGTAATTCAATTCGCACATGATTTGATCTTCCTGAAGTCAGCCAGCCAGCCTGTTCCGGTCGTAATTTTGAATCCAGCACATCCTCTAGTCTCTCCAGGATGATGAGGCCTAATATTTTGCTTGGGGTGGACAGAGACAGGAGCATGATTTTGAACAAGTTCTCGCAATGATTTGAGTCACCCTTCTTTGGAAGTTTGACAAGGTAGTCCTTCTTCTAATCAATGGGCACGTACCTCTCCTTCCTTCCTTTTAAACACCAAGGTTTCTCAAAGCCGCTAGTACCTAAAATAATATCTTGTTCAGTATTGTTGGGCTACTTACGTCACCTACAAACTCATAAATAATTTGTAAAGCATTTGATATAGAACTGATGCGTATGAATTATGCGTGAACATGCTATAATATAACCACTGTAGCTTGACCATAAGTTCTTGATCATATACTCAGTGAGTAACTAACTGTTTCGTAAGTCACGTATCATTAATGATCTATAGATCTATCTGTTGCAATCTATGTATTGCTTGTATCATGATACTTGCTATTCTGTATTTGTGTATTTTAAAAACATGAATACCGTAGAGATCAGACGTGAGTATGCTCGCAATATGCTCTTTTTGATAGTTATGTCACTTAAAAACTAACCATCAGCTGACACCTTTTTCTATACAAAAGTGAAAAATTATGTTAACTTATTTAACTGCTTCATCAGTCAACCAGCTGAATTTATCACGGTTAGGTCAACAGACTGAGCGATGGACATCTCTTCCATGGTGTAATATATTCACTGTTTACACTTTTATCTGGAACTGCTTGACTGAGAGTTTGTCGAGGCAGACTAGACATCAAGTGAACCATGAGGCTTTGAGGCTTTATACAAAATGCTTACTTCAATATTCTGTTAGGTAGGAAAACCGCAGATTATATTAATGGTAATTTGTACAGAAATGATGTATTCCAGACGCACATCAAACATTTATACACTAAAGCCTAAAGACTATCTTTAAAATAGAATCTTCATTTTAAACTCGTTTCGGTGACTAGCGGTGGAATTTAGGATACATGTTTCATTCAATTTACAACTTATCAGTTGGAACTGCCTGCACTTAGTGAATGACGTTGTTCCAACTGAGACTTGACCCCAGTGACTTGGTGGATAACGCTTTTGCATCCAAAGCGATGACTACTGGGTTCCAGCCTGTATGGGAACAACACCACTCACTGAGGTGCAGAAACATCAGGCGATTTAGAGGAAAAATGTTTTCGACTTATGGATGATTTTCAGAGGCTGTGTATCCACATCTGTAGATAAAATGGGAAAATATGTTCATCACTGGCTAACAAGTAGACACAAGGTTATCGAAAACTGTTTCTAGGATAGCAAGTTAACAAGATTTTCACTAGGAGATGTTAAAAGTCATTATTAGGATTAGAAAGTAATCCTTTAATAATCTCAAAAGTATACAAACAGGCATGAAAAGTGAGAAGCTCATACTAAAATAAATCTTCACAATGTAAGAAAGGGCACAACTTAAAACCAAAGAATCCATGTGAGAAGTCCACACTCCCTTAGAAGTATTTGACTTTATTTTGTAAGTGAATTTGAGAAAATCTTTTGGTGGCACAGAATGATTAGGGTTAATCAAGCGTTCAGGAATCCACCTATTGATCTACTTGCATCCCCTTGCAAGCAACAGTGCTGAATGATGTTTCAGATATTCTTGGATAAAAAAAACGCTTTGTAGAGCCTAGTTAATCACATTCACAGGATCAGGCGAGGAGTTATAAGGAATGTAGTTTTTGTAAAACAAAAATAATTTCTGACCCCTAATTAACATTCGTCCACATATTTTTTTATATAAAACTTACTCTCTATTTTCTACATCATACCATATTTTACTTTAGATTCACAGTTTAATATATTTTATTAACATTTGATAATAACCTTTAGCTTTAATTGGGGACGTCATGGAGATTCAGACTTGCATGGAAATTCCTGAAGTTAACCTTTAATAGTAATTCAATTTGTAATTTCAGATTTTTTAAGGAACACAGAAGGCTTTACAATGAAAATACTCAATACTGAGAACTTTAAAAGTATATTTCCATGACCTTAAATACTGGAAGACACTGATGCTTTTTATCAAATATGCCTAGAAAATGTTAGTGCCTGAATTTTGATAACTGAAGACTTTTTTTTTTATGCAACACCAGTGGAAACTGGTCGGCTAACTAACTGGAAATTGTTGTCTTTCGGCAATAAAAAGGAGAATTAGGATATGATCTTCAAGTTATCTAGCAAATATATTACTAGCACTCATATTCAGATGATCGGTGCATTGATAGTCGTAAAATGTCCACTTGATAGAATGATATAGAAAGTTTTTTATCCCGATTGGTTACTAAAGGGAACATTCAGATTGTTTACGTCAAAAGCTTATGACATATAAAGATAATTTATTACAGTGTCACTGCATATACATAAGGTATATTTCAGAAGCTTGTTGTTCCAACTCAGATTTTTTCTACCAAATAATTTTTTGACAACCTTTACCTCAATATTTATTTAACATTATCTATTTGAAGGATTTATCATCGACGATGTTTTACCCGTCATTCTTTCATATCATAGGATAAAATACCCTTGGTTTTTCTGCTGAATTTAATCTAGCTATCAATATTTGTTTCCTTTTAGGCATATTTAACTTCTATAGCTCTATCTGTGTTTGTCATTCCTGGTTGTATAATAGCCACTTGTCATATAATAATTGTGATTACAATCTGGCGTGCATCAAAATTACAAAAGTTTAGGATAAATGATTTACCAGAACTACGTCAAAGAAAATCATCTGAAAATCAGTCAACAAATCTATCAGCCATAACCACAATGACAATATCAACAAGCAAAGTGAACCATTTGCCGAGAGAGAAAAAGTGTCTAAGAATGGGTTTATCTCGGCAGAAATATCAGATGAAACAAGGAGCAGCCGAAATAGTCCGACGACAAATCAATCAAAGACATGTACATTCTAGTTGCATATCTCGTGCGAAAGTGAAAACGGTTAAAATGACTTGTCTTATAGTTTCAGGTAAGTTTGAATACTAACGTTTTGATAATAAACCTGAGGATAACATTTTATCTTGATGAAGTGAAAGTATTACCAGTTTGACTATCTTACTGAGCCAAGGCTTGGCAAATTTACACTGGTACTAAATGAGGGTTGATGGTCGTGGTAAGCTTGAAACCAGCGATCACTGGGTTAATAACCCGGTAGAAAACCAGGCCGGTAACTCGGAGGTCACTGGTTTGAAGCCTCCTGTTACCTTTATTTTCATTTAACCCTCGATCATCATACAATATTACTATCAGTATATATTTATACATAAACGTGCCACATTTTACCACGCTTTTGCTGTTTTATTTGGAAAAAAACGTTTCTTGAATTCATACCGGTCACTTCTTTCAAATATGATTCTGTTATTTACTTCAACAGCTTTGTAATTGTTGGGTAATGTTAAGTTTGTATTATCAGCAGTAGAGAATCGTATAGATAAATATGAAGGACTACAGATTACAGTGAACAAACGTATGAATGTACGCCATCTTATAACTGGTAAGGACTGCTTTTTCTTTTTTTGTAAGCCCAACTACTGAAAAGCGTAACACAGACTAGCAGTTTATGAAAGATTATATTCAAAGTATGCCAGGAACCATAAATCAAACTGTCTAATATTTTTTCACAAAAGTACTAAGAAAACAGCCGAAATTCTCTTCTCTAATAAATGTATTAGCAAAAAGCCCTAACATCACTTCTTCCATGCATGCCATTGTAAAGTGAAACAACTTACACTGACCACTTCTGAGGTTCTGCTTTAGTCTACTTGTATTTCCATCTCTGGTGGACCGATCAGATTCTTAGATGAACTAACAGGCATTATATACCCAAATCACTTTCTGCAAACAGTATCAAAATGATCGAAATAAAATACAGAATAGAATCAAACTGTACTAATGCCGATGAAAACAGCCTAAAACAAAGTACAACAATCCTTTTTTTCACTTTGTTTTTTAGAGAAATTGTATTGAGGAATAGTATTACTTACTATATGATGTAATCACACTATTCACTCAACTTTGCCAAGGTTCCGTATTATATCATATATCTAGTTATCAGAATTAGAATTGTATCCTGTTAGTTTTTCGAATTCTATTTCTATATCAAAGAAATCAAAGTTTCGATGAGGTTGTTTATCATGCCAAATGATCTCATTTTAAAAAACCACAAACTACATTTATCTTAAAAAGTCCTAACTTTTTAGACAAAAAACATTTACAACTTCCTGGCGAACATACTTATTTGCTTTGAAATTCTATTGACCGCCGTGAAGACAGTGCATTGTTCATAAAGTATATCTTACCATCACTGCCACATAAAACAGGGTATAGGTGTTCACTGTCTCCTCCGTGTATCGATCATCATATTTTTGGCACCAAAGGTTTTCGTCTCTAAATAACGGGCTACCTTGTGTTTCAGCAAAGTAATAACAAACACCAGGAAACATCTACCTAACCTGAGTACCATTACAGCAGTAAATGATAAGCAGTTAATATGTTGGATAAACAAGAAAGGTTTGACTCTAATTTTATTAGAAGGTTGAAAGGGATAGCCTGTATACTGAGATCTACTGCAACAAACATCTGTTTAACCAGAAAGAAAATAATATCGCATATGGACCCTTAAAGTAAACAGATACGTTCCATTACCTTTATTGCATTTCGCTTGAAGTGATATTCGGTTTACCAAGTATATTTAAGTTACTGCATAAACTGAAACTATGCTGCTTCAATGTAGCTGTTCAGTAGTCATACTAGTTATCCGTCGCACCCACTGAAAATGACAAATAAGGGACAAAACAGACAAGAGTTGAAACTTTCATTAGTCATCTGGAGAATAAACAAAAATAAATGGACAAAATATAATAGGTCCTCTCATTCATAACGTTATCTACCATATTCAGTCTATGGTTGACCGAGTTAATTAACAGGCAGCTGTATTTCAGAAAAATACTTATACGACTTGAACGGTGAACATCAAAATGTGACTTAAAATTACTGGTTAACTGTCTCAGTATATAAGGTAGAAGTCATGAAAATGAAATGTGTAAACAAAGATACTTCCGTTTCCGCCTGAGCCTGAATGGGAAAGTCTGCATGTCCCTGCAAAGTTCACACAAAATTAAGAAAGTTCATGGACTCATTTCATGACTCTGTCTGGTTATTTCCCACCTTTCATAGCCCAAACGTATTTATCTAGCACTTCATGGTAGATGGTGATTAAGCTTACACATCACAAGTAAAAAGCCTCTGGCATAGATAAAGAATTAAAGTCTAGTCAACCGACCCGTATGTCTACCCAAAAGTCTGCGACTAACTTGTTTTTTACTGGCTTGATCGTATGAAAAAACATGGACCAGTCAACGAAGACAACTATGGTGGACAATTGCAACCTCTGCACGTTCACAACCATACAATGAATCAGTATGAACTGCTGTATAGTGCATTCTATCACTGGTGGGAAACCAGCTGCCTTACTTGTGTCGTACATACCTTGCATTTTTATCAAGTTCGTCGTGATATTTTTATTATTTCATAGGTTTTGGCGGCTACTGAAGCGTCAGGGTTGATAATGACTTCCCGAGGAAGTGAAATGTTCAGCTCTTCCATCAACTTCACTCTTTACTGTTAAACAAGCAGTCAAACAGATACATCTTGACGTAACAATTTTCATTCGCATGACCTTCAAGTTATACGAGCTTTTACACGGAAAAAAAGAACTTATGTGCATTTTTGTATCGCACAACACTAAAACTAACAAATCTGGATCACCTATTATTCGTGCGTAACGTTGTGTTACTGTTTGAGGAGAAACTGAAAATTTTTGGAACATAAATAACAAAGCGCATTATTCAATCATCTTGTGACCAGTGTTCACATTACGTACATAAGTTAACAGGAAATGTTAAATATTAAAGGTATGAGCCTAGTAGAAGAATATTTGATCACTGAGATAAGAGAAGTTTAAGCAATAAGTAGTAATAATGCATAGCGATATTATCAGCACTTCGTTATTACACTTTTTTGAAGTCTATTCTTTCTTGTGGCTTGAAACAACGTCAATTTTTACTGAGGTCTAGCAATTTATACAGTAGTTAACCACATGTATAAGTAAGCAAGGTAAAATGATTCACAAGAAAGCAATCTTCGTTCTTCGGTATATTCTCCATTGATAAATAAGACCAATTACTGAAAAACGGTAGTCTTGGCATATTCCGAAGAAAAACTTTTATTCCCCTAATTAAATGAAAAATGATCATACCTCCAGACGTCGAAAAACTCAGATTGCAATTCAATGTAGGCAATAATTTTACAGTGATTGTGAAAGCAAAATAAATTGAAACGAAGCTGTCAAAGAAAGCAATAGTCAGACATCATAAAGATAACAAGTGTCAAATAGCAACAATAGTTTTAAAGGTCATAACATGGCAAAAGAGGAAAACCACTCTACTAACAAGCCGATGTTGCTAAACAGTGGTGAATATCTCATATAAACATACATGCAACACATGCATACTTCACCTTTTTTGTTAAGACAACCCTAAAGGCCACCTTAACAGTTAGTAAGATAACCAATTTGATTCCCGTGCTTTTTGAAAATACTATCTTTTGACCCTAGAAAAAGAAAGACAGTTGGCTATTACAGTGTTTTGCTACGTTGGCCATTAAATTCTCTCCCTTATAGGTAATTAATGGTACAGTCATCTCGCCTGTTGAGGAAATACCTAAACCAATTTCAAAGCCCAGAGGATAGGAAGTACTCATCATCACGACTTTGAGATAAACCTCTTCTTCAATATCTGAATTTATCAAAGTTTAATGGTTTAAATGACAATTAAGGTACGTAATCTTGACAATGTCTAGAATCATGTAATATAACTGTAATGTCCAATCACCAACTTTGCCACTCTTGAAAAGGCAGTTGTGCTGCATGTGTGATTACGTGAAAAAATGTTCTCATAGCTAAACAGAATTCTTCTTGATTTTCTAAAGATAATAAAGTATGGAGTCGAGACTTTCTACTTACATATTCACTATGAAATAAAGCTGCAGTTAGTGTGAAAAATTCTCGAAATGAAAAGAGCATCCCAAATGAGAAAATTAATTTTTAATCCCACGTGATTAATCTATCTGTAAAGTTCATCCTTTCTTATAACCTTAGTTTGTAGCCAGAATAAGCAAAGTTAGCAGACATGACAATTCATCATTTATATAATTTCAGTCATTAGTTCCATGCAACAAATGTTCAACCACCAACTGTATTTCGTTAGTTTGAGGTTTGCTGGTGACAGAATTCTGACTGAGATTTCATTATTATTTTCAACTGTTCATTGTTGTCGTCCTTATATCGACTTGCACTAGATATCTAATCTCCTAATTGCCGGATTATGATAAAGAACTTAGCTTACCGATCAAGACAGATAACATTTTTGTGGGAGACTTAAATGCTAACTAAGAAGCGTTTGCACTTAGGTGATGTGAATTTATTTAGAATATATCAAGAATTGTGTATCCTACTGTTGGCTGTCATCACGAGGGAAGCACCAAAATGCAACTTTTGGTATCCACATAATATGTCAGCATTTAAATAAATGCTTAAGAGATTAAATTCTACAAGTCAACTGACACACATCATCGAAACATGCAAGTACAGGTTTTCTCGGAGATCCAAAACCGCGTCATTTGGAGCTGAACTCTAAATTAGGTTACAATTGATCTACTGTATGCACAAACAATATACAAATAATTAAGTGGTCATACTTAAAATCTGAATTATTGGTTTTAGTTACAGTTGATTATCTAGAATTTAATGGACAAATCAAATTCCATACACAGGCAGATTCATGAAGAGACTGGACGATCTGACTCCGCCTTAATAGGAAACAAAGATTCATAATACTTCTCAAGAATAACTTCAATTTAGATGCTTATCCAAACTACATTCATTCCACAATGTGAATCAGTTTTGAATATTCAATAATTATTTACTTCCATCATCATTTAACTGACATAATTTGTCATCCAAAAAGTATATTTCATGGCTGCTTTACTTAGCAACCGGAAGAAGTCATCTTCTCTTAACTACGTTAAAGTACTAATTCATGACATTGATTTTGACAAAATGATAAAAAATACTTTAATCATGATTGAACAAAACTGTTTTGCATCATCTACTGAAAAAAGACTTAAAAACAGTATGGATGGACGACAAGGAAGGAAGTCATGTTATGCAAATATAAGATGAAACTTATGGTTAACGCTGACATATTACCAATTATCACCCAGCCCTTAAGTAATGTTTTCCGGTTTCTGTTAACGATATTATTTATATGTCCTGCTTAGTTACACTTTACGCTAATTTTTGGTCCAGCTTCAAGTTCCAGACTAAAAATTTGTTTGTCTGACGGTTATAGTTTTTAAAGCCTAAGAGATTGGTATCATCATCAAGAAGAAGATATTTCTTCTTAAGGTTAGCACATCAGAAGCGGAATATTCACCATAGCATTCTAGTAACGCTAACGCGCTTCCTCCGTGAATCTCTCCCTCCCAAATGTCATGCTTTAACGTATCCAGCTTCACCAGGAAATCGACTCGCTGGCCACACCTACCCCTCGTGGGCCAATATGCTTGGTATACATATCACTGATTATCCACAACCTTGCAAACACCCATGCAGCACTAAATCGCGAGCATCATAGTTACTGTGGTTAATGATATGTTCACACACACTTCTACCCGAAACAATGAAATCTATAACTGGATACTGAAGAACTAATTTGTATTTGCATTGTTTGCCTTTAGAGTTATAAGTAAATAGTTGTACTTCATCAGCTTTTTTCAAAGCTTTAGTTGAAATATTATACAATGATGTTGTGAGAACTACATGTAAGAATGCAAATATGCAGTATCTTAATAAATATATCAGCGTCGAAAGTGACATTGGTTGACTGCTGAGGAGTCAGATAAAAAAAATATACGATAATGTATGTGAGGACTAGGCGCAACAGCCTAGTAGAAGAGTATAGACAATAAGAGACTATTTGCAAATTGCTTACTTATTGTTAATTGGGCATATTATTTTCACCACACTTATGTCCCGTTTCCTCAGTGATACCTTGTTATTTCGAAGGCGTATTTAACTCTTATCCAAATTTATATCTCTGCAATATATGGCTAATAAGAAGTTGAGAAAACTATTCCAAGAAAGTTGCTCAGTACAATTACAATTAGAATTTGAGCTTCTGAATATCCCGTCTTATAAGAAGGTTTATCTTTTTTCGTATTTTCTAATGATAGAGAAATAAATAAAGTGGGACCAGAAATTGGTAATTATTCAAACTAAGTTTGAATTTGATGAATTGAAAATGCATCTAAGTATGGTATCTCTCATTTTTGTATTCTTATTTCCCAATGAATAGAAAACAATCTTGTTTGCAAGCATCAAAATTGTCCTATTGAGAATAAGGGGATACAGATATTTCTTAATCTAGTTTCAATGACCTGCACGTATGTATTGTGAACATATGTATGCATATGTGCACATAAGAACCACAATCTACAGTTCACATATTTGTCCCACATATGCGGTAAATATGCTCATTATCCTATCTTACAACTTTTCAAAGTAGAAGTATCTATCAACGAAAATTTGATTGAATATATTTACATATATTAGCTTAAATGTTGTTAACTTCGGTCCACTAATACTTTGGTAACACTATGATGAGACTCAATCAGAACAACTTTTTTTGTACACTTACATTTAATAATACTAATACAAAAATGATGAATATGATTTATTCAATGCTCATATTTCTTGAAACCATGAAATCCTCACTTGGTTCGGATATCATTAAATATATAGTGATTTCAAAGCAACCTTTTATGACATTAGCTTTCGCACTATCTCTACTTCATGAAACCGATTAATACAGGAACGTCTAGACTATTTCCTAGTATATAATTAATTTCTATTGAACTGAATGACCTTAGCAATAAACACACAAGGAATCTGATATTAGATAGTTTAAGGTAATGAACATCATGCTTTGAACCTTGATTTCAAGTTTGTTGACACTCATCAGCGTAGCATATCTACAGTCTCAAAACAGCTTATTTCTCTTTCGAAAGACGGAGCCACTTCACTTGATCCTGCAGTCAGAGATGTCACCACTGATCTATGCAATCCAAGATTGACCTTTCGTATGACTGGAATCGATACATTGGTTAGCCGCTATGATACATCGTGCGCCGATGTGCTCAGTCTACGAGGTTGTCAACCACATTTTGAAACGATCGACAGAATTCGGTCAACAAATAGGACGAGATACCATGAAGTCAGTTTTTCCTCAGTATCCACTCATTTGAAACACCTAAGTTGCCTGGCACAAATACCTTGATTAGGAATCATAACTGAGACCTAATTTCCATCACTAATGATTATTATGGAAGTATTCCCTTAGTAAGCGGTCATCCTTCTCATTTAGAATTCCCTTTAAAAGAAGCTAACTTAAGAAATAAGAATGAGAATCCACTCACTTGTGGGGTATTTGTTAGTATGAGAAAGATTTGTAATTAGAGTACCATATTTCCGGAATTAAGTAACAAATTAACTCTTGTCCATTTGATGCTACCCCTTTTGTTCACAAAAACGTATATAAAGTAAACCAGCGTTACCTTCATTTTGACTTATTTTATGCGCTGTACTAGATGCAATCAAAATTAACATACAATTTAGGTTAACTCTTAGCAAGTCATCTGAATACACTCTATGCCCTTATAAGTGAAGGCCAAATCTTTGTATGTCAGGTCAGTTAACACAAAGCATTCTGATGGAAAACATTTTGTTGAAAGTTTCACAGTTACAAAAACTTACATGGTTGTTCTAAATAAAAATGTTTGCCTCCTGCTAAGTATATAACAACTTATGCGGAATACGACAGTAGTGTTCCAATAAATAAATTTGCCTCGCAAGGAATTGCAAATGTTATCATTTTGTGAACATTTGATATCGGTCAACCATATACGTGGCGTTTAATTTTTCCGATTATTAATTTCGATCTCATTTAGCCGTGATTGACTGCCGACTGAAACAATTACTGAACTCGAATTCTGAAAGTATATCAACCACATATATGAAGACCATAAAATTCGGCTAGGACATAAATTGTTTTATGTAGAAGCAAAGTTATTCCTTTTGGTTTCATTACGAAATGTGATGTTTACCTGTTGATTTCGCAGCTATTTGAATGGGATGGTTTCCTATAGACTAAAGTCTCGCTCTATTCGTCTTCTTATCGTTTAATCTTGCAATCCAACACTGCTAGCTCACCTTTATCACTTTCTATGTCACAGGTAAATTTGGTTGCACTCACTATCAAAATTATGTGTACTAAGAACTTATTGATTTGTTCCGATTTCAGTACCGTAAACATATCATCTAGGTATAGGAACAATGTCTTTCGATTAGGACTGAGCGTTGGAAAACCTATCCGTTCCCAGTTAGTTAGCAAGTTCGGATTTTGAGTGGTTTTTTATTGGACTTAGCCCTCTTATGATATATTCAGCAGCTTGTAGGTCGGAATGTTTTTATAATTGACTATAGGCCTAATGGGACAACCAGGCTTATGAAGCTTAATAGTATCGCATATTCTACTGGGATCATTAGTTTTCGGCATTAAATTAGGTCTTTTTGACTTACCTATGGATGGCTTCATTCAGCTCATTAGATCTCCTATGGATTTTACAACCTTATTCGTAATAGTTCATAGTCCACTGGTTCTCAATTTCCTGTTTCGATATGTTTATTCACTTTGTAGATGTAGCTAGATTTGTTCATTGCAACTGCTGAGTTGCCTTTATCCGGTTTGGTAATTACTATATTGCTATCATTTTTATAGTTTATGAAAGCTTCTCTGTCTCGTTTGGGTAAATTTGTTTTCATTTTCTTTTTCCCTTTCGGTGCTAGAGCATACTGTGGTCTTATCTCATCTGCAATTGTCTTATCTGTTGAACTAAACTCTATTTTTATTCCAGGACTTGCATCTATAGATTTCAATTCATTTATCGTCACATTTAAGTTAAGGCCTTTCTCTAGCACTTTTACTTCTGTTGAGCTAAAGAATCTAGTTGAGAGACTAATGACCCACTTTGACTTATCGATCACTGGTGATAATTGTTGTTAATTTCACTACTGCTGACTGCAAATGTATTCATAAGTTTGTTGGACTTCTTAATTTGAAGATTTTCAGATTTTTTAAATGCAGGCAATCTCACTTTATTGTGACATCCCACCAGAAGCTCATAGTTTTTTTCTACTGAATGTTTTTACCAGCTTGAATTTAAGTTCTTCGATATAACTGCTGATTTCGTGAAACTGTGACAATTCTACGAACTTCATTAGGATCAAGTTTACTGGCCTGTTCTATAGCAGTTTTATAAAGTTATATAGTAAATGATACTGTTTCACTGTGTGACATTTCTAATAAAATAATGAATTAAAAATGGAAGTGATTTCGATATCTTTCAGATAATTTCATGAAATAGTTTTCTCGTTTTCGCACATTCCATACCACTCATTGGAATCTCGAGATATCATCAACAAAATGCTGAAAATAATAGATTGCTTGTTCTATGAAACCTTATTTACGCTAGTGATATTGCTTGTATGTACTTATTTCCACTATTTCACTTTTTGTGCAACCAAATTGCTTCCAAATTAATTGCCATAAAAATTTTTATCAAGCAAATAATCATACTTAGTTACTCATTAGAGGCAAACCGTATTCTGCGACTCATAAACAATGATTAGCAGGAAAAATTTATTCTTCATCTTATCCTTATTTCTTTCTAGCTTATGTCATTTGCTGGTGTCCATTTATGGTTTGGAATTTATTAGTTACATATGGATACATGAGACAATTTGCTCCATATTTAATGAAGTACTCACCAATAATTCAGGTTAGTGGTTGCAAATTTTCACCTTATTAAGAATAAAAAACTAAGGTGTCGATCTGCTTGATGATTCTTAAACGTTGAAAAAATTGAGTCACTGGTTCGCCCAAAAAATATGTAGAAGGAAGTGGAGATGGATTGGGCATACACTGAGGAGATCATTCGGGGACATCACGCGTCAAGCCCTCGAGTGGAACTCAGATGGGAAACGACGAGTTGGGCGTCCAAGGCAGGAGTGACGTGGAGGAGATCGTGCGAGAAAGAAATGAGAGCTTGTGGGCTGTTGTGGATCCAGGTTCAAAAGATTGCAGACAGCAGAGTGCACTGGAGACGTGCTACTGGAGCCTTATGTTCCACTATGAACCCAAGGGACAAATAATAATGATACTAATAATAATATAGTGGGCTGAAGTTCAACGCAGGAGATGAAACAAGTGCCTTAGAAACTTGCAAGTAAATCAACAAACAACGAAAATAAACGCTTTTAAGTTTGCTGAGATGGTCCTAATAAAATGACTGAAAATAGAGTTGTGTTCAAAAGGGACCAATAATAAATATTTCTCCGTACTGGCAATAAAATGTTATACTCCCCTTGCTTTTGAATGAGATCATCTCAGTAAACCTTTTTTCTGTTTGTAAGGAATGTTGTTCATGATGTCTACTGACTGAGTCCAACTGTTTGCATTGCATGATTTCTCAGCTAACTGCCATCATCTGACTTACTCGTTTGCCTTCTTTTTGCTGGTTTTCATATTATGTTCTTGAACTTTGTTGTATCATACACACATACATACCTCTTATCACGCTTTGTTATCTTTATATGGATGTTAGTATTATTTATGAAACCCTGCCATTTGTTGTTAAGTTACTTTTTTTAACTGTAAAAGATACATTCAAATTTTTTATGTATATGATATTTGAACGTTTAACGTTTCTAAGTGACAGACGAAAACCAATGAAAGAAATAATACTATGATATTCTCCTATAATCGACATTCTTTCTCTGTTCAAGTTAATAAAAAGCTATTAGTGTACGAAAGTCGGAATTTTTTGTCATACGGGTTTCTTGGTATCACTGCGAAATGGTTTCTGTCTACCAACCGTTTTTTTTGAAGCACTGAAGCAACCATGAGAACATGGATATAAATTTTAGTTTTCAGACATCATTGAATACACAATAAAAGTAAAACGTATATTATTAACTTCCAACTGTACATACTGATATCTCGGAAGCTATCTACATGCCGATTTCTATGGTGTAAGAAGGATGTTCATCGGTGAGGGTAAGAATATTTTGCTTTTGCTTGTTGACCACTGATGGCGTACTAACGTGCGACATGCTAATCCCTGCGATAAAAACCTTCCCTATTTATTTATCTGGTGGTGACACTTTGGAAAACTTACATTAGAACTAAAATCGAACGTGAATATTATTGCTTAGGGTAAAAAAATTTCAAAGAATTGGTGAATACATGTCTTCAGACCAATCTAAGCACAAGAAAAGAGACAAGGTCAGATTTTTAACTTCCTTTCTTACTTGTAAAAATATAGTTTACTTTCTCAACTGCATGCTTTGTTCTGTAGTGGGGTTCCCTGTCAAATAGCTAAGTTTGAGCTTGACTTCCAAGGTCACTTTTTATTTAGCTCTAGTTTTGAAATCCAGATTTACTGTTTATTTTCAGATTCGTTCGAAAGTATTCACCAAAGTAAGTTGGGCATATGAATAAAGACAGTCTTTCTGTTAGAACACGAAAGGAATACAGAACAGTATCAGCCTATTCTATGGTGTGATACACATTCCAATTCCTATATCAAACATTTGATAACAATAATAGTCACTTTATTCCAAACAACACGAGTAATACAGTATAGAGTTCTCAGCAAGTAATATTTCAACAGATTCGCTCCCTGCACAACATTTTTAAAAGAAATAATTGTCGTATGTGAATAGTAATAATAATAACATCAAGAAAGGCATGAATGCATAATCGGATGGATGGTGTTACATTGCTGTCTGGTCTGACCTTGGAAATGAATACAAAGTTGAGTGAAATTATGGTACTAGTAGTAGTAGTTCAGTCAACCAGTACAAAATTCTGTAATTCCATATAGAAATCTTGGGGATAGTACTTTACTGTGTTTCTAAGCGTTAATGTATCGATTTACATCTGCGGAAACGTTTTTCTTGTTTCGTTCTTAGCTTGAGAAGCGACAGTTTGAAATGTGCGACAGTGCATGATACATTTAGAAAAGACATTTAAAAGAACAAAACAAGCTGAAAGGGAAGTCTGATAAAACATATTCCGTGGACAAATGGTTGGTAGCGCAAGGTTTAAGGAGGCTGCTTTTATCAGCCTAATGTATCACTTCTGCAAAACAACTTGAGAATTTATTCAATGTTTAATTTGTATCGTACATACTACAATTTGTGTACATAGATAGAACGTTGTAATCGGAATTATATATATATATATATTCATTATCTGGAATCTTACTGTGCTGTAATATATGTTTATCGGTTTCAACGGTTTTCGTCTAATCGACTGAAGTGTTCAACAGTCTGTCACCTGAAGCCTATATGCAATGAAATTGATGAATTTGCTACATTATGTAAAATATTTGACGTTGAAGAAGACTGGCTGGTAGCTGATCTGCATTGGATGAAGAGTGGTTTTTTCAGTAGTACTAAACTTTTTCTCTGAATAGTCTGAATGATAAACATCTCTCATTTATCCATGATATTCGCCATGCAAATAATTCCAGTAAAATCACATTTTCCTTTTCATCTACAGCATTTGGTGCCTCTCAATTCTACAGCAAATCCTATTATATTCTGGATATTCAATGCAAAAAACTTTATTCAGCGCAGACGAAGAACAACCGGTATTATGTAAGAATAACAATAGCTTCTAATCATTTATTATGCAATTTCAGTGACGTTTACAGTAGCATTTTCGTAATATGATGAATTGACACGTTTAACACCTGAGTTGTATAGACTTATCCAATCCAAAATACAGAGCTTTTTTCAAATAGTATATAATACCAAATTAGTTGATTAAGTCTCTGAATTACTCCTTACCTTTTTGTTTTCACTTTTAATAGTGTTACAGATACTGCGAAGTTTTAATAAAAATGAAGATGAATTATATCTCAGTTGAATGGGATGCAATCAATCTTCATCAGTGTAAATTGAAAACCATTCATAAAGTAAGCCATGGTAATACGTGTACATCAATTCATGAACACAGAATTAGTAAAAATAAGTATTTCTTTCCAATCAAATACTCACCAGCTACTCTACACATATATATGAAGCTCACATATTATTTCTCTAGATATCAGCTTCATGTTTCGCAGTAGGTTGAGGATAAAAAAAATTACATATTTAAAGATGCACAGATAATTATTGAGAAACTGAAGTCAAAAATGTTACATAAATTGACTCATGAGCTAAAAAATCAAACATACACAACACTTTCATATAAAACTGTCAAAATAATAATTTACAATAATAGGAAAATGCATATCAAAGTCACTGGAGGTCAATTGTAATTACACTGAAAATTCCATTTCTGGGCAGGGTTAAACCAATACGTTTTATAATGTTTTAAATCAATCTCCTGAACTATATTAAGTAGATATAAGTGAACCAACAAATTTGTTAGTAATTCCATATTAGATTGGTTTATTTGATTTGCAATACATAGTGATACAGTTTGATGTAACTTGATGACGTTTCGAGCACAAATTATCATATCATTGTAACCACACTACTTTCAAAATTGGCTATTTATAGTCATGTTACTTCATATTATCTGTTTCTACCGGCAGTAAAATGTTCCATATCTCTGGTATGGGTGTTACTTCATCTCTATTACGTGTGTCAGGTAGTGATTCGACGAACGGATTCAGTAATCTCTCTCTTCACCTAATTATATTAGACTTAAGTACAGTGTTTATATTAGATGATGATTGTGGATGATATCGAAGTTAGGATAGCGCCAGATTCGAACCAGCGACCACCGGGTTTCCGGCAGAACGCTCTTTTAACTCAGCTACGAGGTCCAACTACTGAACACATTTTTATTTCACTTCAATCATCGTGGGTTTTGCCTGACCACTGTGTGAATTTGTGGCGCGTTACTAGCACTCGATCGTATTCACACTGGTTGCCTAGTCATGTCTTCTCATCCGAATCCAAATCCAATTGAATTTGGAGGGGGGTTGAAATCATATTGATTATCATTTGACTATCTGAAATGGTCGTATTTCGGCAGACTAGTATTTATACTGGGTGGTGATTGAAGGTAAAGAGAATATTTGGACCGCGGCGGGGTTTTATCCCAACCACCTTATTGTGTGGTCGTGTGTTGATGCATGCTCTGCAACAACCTAGTTTTTTTCTAGGATACATTAGGAACTCTGCTCAGGATCCTCAACAAGCTAGAATTGCGGTGGCACTTAAACCTACAAACTCACTCAGAGATAGGCTCTGTCAGCTGGCTTAAAATTTCGATAGAATGAAGTAGTCTAATCTATCAAATTCCATGTATGGACTATGAGGTCAAGTACATAGGTCACACTAGCCTGTCGGGGTCATTCAGATTAGCCGAAAGTAGGAATTCGGCTAAATGCAGAATAACAGACCCAATGAGATCAGTAATGTACAAGGACACTCAACTGTTGCAATGGATGAATTAACACAACCACGCAATAGGGTGTGTGGGATGGATCCACTGTACTAAGTCCAATATAATTAGATGAAGAGTGATTGGTTACTGAATCACTGTTCATCGAATCAACACCCAACAGATGTAATAGAAGTGACGCAACACCTAAATCAGAGATATGAAAAAAACTCTTATACTAGTAACAACAAAGAATAAGAGGTGATAGGACATTAAAAAGCAGATGTCGAAAGTTGTATGAATAAACTGATATAGTTATGATGTATAACTTATGCAGGAAACGTCGTCAAGTTACATAATACTGAATCACTGTGTATTGTAAATCAAATAAACAAATCTAATGTGGAGTTACATTCTACCACAGTGCCGAAGGTTTACATTCTCAATAAACTGGCAGTAACCTCTTTCCTAGATAGTAGACGACCAGGTTAGTCACCCAGAAGCCTGCATGCTATGCTATAAATATTTGAAGAAGCTATACGTGTGTCTATAAAACACTTACCTGCTTATAAGATGTGCATATTATTGTCCATTTTAAATAGAATACCAAAAAAGTCAGTTTGGTATAAAGAATAAAAAAACTTATATTCAAAATAATAAAAGACGCTCAACAGTTAAGGAGACATATAACCTGTGACAATCATCCAGACGCATTAAAATCACTCCAGCAGTTAGCCACATCAACCAAAGATTCCTCTCCAGTTTTCTGTGGGTACCATTAACTGCCGTTTATCTCAAAAGAGATTTTGGTATTCTAGTATTTGAGTAATACAGCATCGGTTTACATTTGTCTGAAACAAATGAAATCATTACGAAGAAGGGTATAGGAATGAGCAATAAAACATGTACCTTCTGTGATGATGCCACTGATGTGCCTGCTGACAAAAACTTCACAATGCCACTCCTCAAGACAGCTGTCAACATTTAACTGTCTGTCATGATTATCACACCCTCCCATGTTTGGTGTATCCTTTGAAGTAAACATCTTATCTTAAAACCTACAATGCAATTTTCCACTAGGACAACAAGCGGAACGGCTTTTCATAATCTTGATAAATGCATGAACATTTCATTCAGATAGGATTAGTTACTTCAAAAGAACTTTCGGTTTTGTTTGGCTTTCTTCAGAAACCAAAGATTTTGTCAAAGCTTTTTCAGGAATTTTATTTCAGTGCCTGGAACGAAAACATACATATAGTTCAGTAGCTCAGGGTAGGATACATAACAGACTGATACAACCTGCAGAACCAGTGTTAACTCAAGAGCATTGGAGAGCTGTTTAGTGTAAGTATGAGGGTCCTCATCATTGAAAAATTTTGCCCATTATTAGGCGAAATTGGACGCCACCTACCATCTTCTTTATATATGATATATCCAATTCAGTATCTAAACAAAAATAAAGATCATAGGTGTGCACTGCTGGGAAAAGACAGCTGTCCTATACTTCTAGGTTTTCAGGAATTATCTAAATGATATCAGTCCGTGATGAATAGTACCCTGAAATGAACAATAGTTTCAGGAAGTTCAGTGCTCATTACTGAAATGATTTGAGACGAATACCTCTCAGTACTTCTAATGAGATAAGGTGATACTTATTCACTAGGTAATGAATGAAGGGAACCTCGACTAGTCAACTAGTTCACTAGCTACTAGGAGGTCCTAAGCCCGGAAAAGAGGGGAGGTTGGGAAAACAGGTAGCAGGCCCATTCCAGAAAACCAATCTAACCGCTTAACAAACTTCGAAGCACAAACAAAATATAAAACATAAAATCAAACATATTCCCTGCTGGAATCGAAGAGACGAAAGACCCCTGGTTGGTGAAAGACTTTAGAAAGCCAGTCGGCCGATGTATCCTCTCGATGAAAGCGAAAGTAAGGATGGGGATATGGAATGTCCGCACCATGTTCAAACCTAGCAAGGCTGCCCAGATTGCGAAAGAGATGAAGAGATATGGCATGGAAGTGCCTGGAATCTGCGAAAGCGTGTGGAATGGAAGTGGACTCACCAAACTGTCAAATCTGGAGGACTCAATAATCTAATACGATACTGTCACCCACACGAAAACCAAGACCACACTGAGTTTTCGTGTGGGTATCTTGATGTCTCCAAGAACATCGAAGGCTCTCATGCAGTGGGAACCAATCTCCTCCTGCAAGATCAGGATCATGAGGGCAAGATGGATTCAAGTCAAAAGGAGGGAAGGTCACAATCATACAATGCCACGCTACAGACCTAAAAATAGTGCAGAGAAAGGTAATGAAAGGTAATGTCTCCAGACAACTGAAATCAGTAATGAACAAGACACCTTCCCAGTTGGCGACATCAAAATTCAAATGATTGACATGAATCCCAGACTGGGAGCAGAAAACACAAGAAGAGAATTAACCAAGGGTCGACAAGCACTTGGTGAAATGGATGAGAATGGTGAATGTTTGCAGAATTCTCTGCACTCAACGATTTGGTCATCGGAGTCAGGCAGTGCGCACAAACACAAAATATGCAAAAAGAGATATACATTTCACCAGACACCAGGACAAACCCAAAATCAGATCGACTTTTTCACAATCTCAATCCAAAAGTTAGATCTACCATGTGTTGGTTGACCTAAAATATTCATACATCAGTAAAAGCCTCTGAAACCTACACTTTTCTTATTTGTTCACTTTTTCCCCTCAAACCACATGTGTAAAAATAATGTGTCAGCAAGATCACACAGCTCATATCATTAAACACATTTCTTTTCGGTTACATCTCACCAGTTTCTCACGATCACTAACGGTGGCAAAGAAAGCGAATTCTTCTTATGAGAATGTTATACTAATATAAGTTTTATTTAAGGAAAATTTTCTAGGATAACGTTTGTCTTCCCAATTAGCACATGAAATTAAATTGTATTTTATGCCATCTTAGCAGCTGATATTTTTTTCAAAACAGGGTTGGTGAACATTTTTGTTCTACATTTTCACACTAATTGTCAACATGTCCAATTTACACAACAGTTAGCTTTATTCTCACTAACTGAATGATGATAGGTCGCTAGCTTCCTAACTAATTAAATATAACAAACTAATTAGAAATACCCAAATTTTTCCGTTCAACTCGATATCAGTTTTAAAAACTCTATGCTAATAATCTATTTCGGTGAATACACCTAACAAACAATATGCAAACTAGCTTCATCGCATTCATGAAACAGCATATTAGTCTGTTTAAAATGCAATGATAACAACTAACTGAATTATGAGGTCAAGTTATTCAAAATATATTTCATAACATCTGAGTTTGAAGAAGAAATGAATATAAAAGAACTTCTAAAGCAGCAGATTGGTACTCATCATGAACTGATATCAGCTGGAGGACCATTGAAATCCTTATAGCACTGCACAGTTTTTGGTCCCATGATGAAACTCCTTAGCAGTGCACACCCATCAACCGGCTTTGATTCCGTTAGGTATCTGACCAATTGTTTTTCAGAGTATTCGACGAATCTCAGTATGCATATTTGATAGTTACTGATTTTTTAAAAATCAATACAGCTATGAAATACAGAGATGGTGGTGTAAACTATAAGGTGAAACTCCTCATTTGTCAGAAAAACAAAAGTATCATTGAACCTTACACAGAATTAACATTCCTGTTTGTCCTGGATTAATTGCAATTAAGCAAAAATCATTTCATAGGAATGCATTTTATCTCAATCACAAAATCTCAGAATTCATGAACATTTCGTATTCACCGTCGAAAACGTGTAGTAACAGAAGTAGAAGGTGAAGAGATATTTCAAATCTACCATAGCAGGTGGTTAATTCTGTTCAGGAATCCCAACAGATAATTGTTAGGTGATCCTGAAGTCGTCTACCACTTTCCAGTGACGCAAGGATATACACAAAGCAACATAGATTTGATTTCATCAGACACCAGGACACACTGAAAACCAGATCGACTTCATCTCGATCTCACGAAAGTGGAGACGCAGCCTACTTGACACAAGATCAAGAAGAGCAGCAGATTTAGGTTCAGACCACTATCTAGTGCAAGGAACCTAACTTCAAAATCAAGTAGAAAACCTTCAAGGAAGTTGGTGATATGCCACAGTTCAAGGCTAACACTGAGAACAGAAAGTGAAGCGCGAAACTACAAAGGACATCTTCACGTCATCAACCATCAAGCACAAATAGGAGACACTAGGCAACATCTCAGAGGAAACCTGCGAGAAAGAACATAGAAAATGCTCTGGATTCAAAATTTAGACCGGAACAGGCTGCCGGCTTCGGGAATTACAAATCATGTGCAAATCAAACTGCAACGCTACGCATCATCAGAGAACACAGTGTAGCATTGCAGTCAACTGGATCCTCACCTCAACTCCATCGATTTTCAAAAGACCTTCGACAACGTCGACCATGAAGTAATTTGTCGGCTGCTTCTACACTATGGTATTAGTGCCACAAACCTCTATCAACCTCATTCAACAGCTATATGCTATATGCTGATGATGCTGCATGCCAATTGATTCACAACAGAAAGCTCACTGACGTCTTTGAAGTGGGGGAAGGAGTAGGACAAGACTAGGATGTCTACCATCATCGATGGTCTTCCTGATTGTGATCAACTGGACTGGATCATGCAAGAAATTGTGAGGAGCGAGAAGATGGGCATACACCGGCTGGACCAATGAGATGACCCCACAAGAATATTTAGATTTCGCCAACGATGATGATTTGTGTCCACTATCTTGTCGCACAGACTACAGGCCACGATCAACAGGCCAAAACTGACACTTTGACAGAGGAGGTGAGGCGAGACGAGGCGAGACAGTGAAGGAAGACGGGACTGCCTTCCGGTGAACGTAGAGAGGACAGAGTTGATGAAGATTCCCGGGAAACAACAACAACAAGTACCACGAACGGGGAAGTGTAGACGAGGTAGTCTCTTCCACCTACCTACCTACCCACCTACCTACCTGCCTACACACCAACTTCCCACCCACCTACCTACCTACCTACCTACCTACCTACCTACCTACCTACCTACCTACCTACCTACCTACCTACCTACCTACACACCTACCTACCTACCTACCTACACACCTACCTACCTACCTACCTACCTACCTACACACCTACCTACCTACCTACCTACCTACCTATCTACCTGCCTACGCACCTACCTACACACCTACAGACCTACCTACCCACCTTCCCACCCACCTACCTACCCACTCACCTATCCACGCACCCACCTACCTGAGCAGCATCGTTTCAATTACAGGCAGGGGCTGCTAGGTGAGGATATCCATGCCAGGATCAAAAACATAGCAAGACAGGCCTTCATTAACCTGAAATCAGTGTGTAGATCCACTGCACTCCACTACACTTAACCCCACTGCAATGCACTGCACTCAGCACACAGCATGAACAACATCCCGATTTTCAACACTCACATCAGTCAAGTCAGTGCATCTGAGTGATGGTTGAGAGATTTGACGTGTCACGAAAAGCATTCCCAACAAACTACAGGCATTCATCACATCAAGAGATGCCACCTACGCTTGCCCACTCGATAGTGAAGATGGGATGACCAGAATAATTAGAACAAGTAATGTGGAACTCTAGCTGGCTGGCAGTCAATGAACCTACCAGTAGGCTATCGCCCAACAGATATGCAGAAGAAAGTGGATATGGATTAGATTGGATTGAATTGGATCGGGCATATACTGAGAATACCGTTTTGGACATCATGCGACAGGCCGTCGATTGGACCTGAAATGGCAAACGACGAGTTTGGAGTCTGAGAGTGACATGTAGGAGATCGTGTGTCGGGAAGATATAGAAGCTTGTGAGGGGTAGTGCAGCCAATTTGAGAATACTACGGACAAGGGAGTGAAATGGTGGCTTGTAACTGAAGCTCTATGTTCCACTAGGAATCTAAGGGAAAATTGATAAATAGTAATGAGTATTATTATTACTCAGTGAAAGTTCTCTTACTGACTTTGTTATGAATTCTTTGATTCTCGACTTCCACTCACACACAAAGATTAACGTTGTCAAATCGTGTAATCTTTTTCACCATCCGATGTAGCAGTGCTTTAGTAGACGTGAAATGCTGGAGGAGGATTAGTGAAGGTGGAATTCAAATGTGGGTCACGGCATGATTGAAACCAGCGACCATTGAGTTGCTGGTCCGGTGCTGCACCAAAGGATCTACGAGACTCGACGGCTGAACAGTTTTTCTTACTTCAAACATCGTGAATCCTTTTAACATATTTTCTGTTTATTAAATTATGTTCCTGACCACAAGCTACCAGTTACTATTTACAGTCGAGTAGTGATCTTTTTGATGAATAAGACAGGCGTATTGAATATTCAAAGGTGATTTTACACCTGCTGAGGATAATATTGCCGGGAACAAATTCATTTACTTGCATTCTTCTTCTTTTATTACTCCGTAATTACGTGTTTTAACTGTTCCTATATAAATGGGTTTTTAACATTTTTTTCTTTTTATTTAGAGCTAATCATCAAGTCATTCCAGTAGTAATCTCTTAACCCAACTGTTCACACAGACGTGCTTCACTTAAGAATTCATCTTTCCTGTAGGCTGAAGAAGACAGTAAATTCCACGTATACTACTGTCCTCTTACAAAGCACGAGCAAAAACATCTAATTTACAGATATATTTTATATGCAAGCAACCATACAACTCATTTGTTTCAAACGTTCGTTTCAGGACGGAGGAACATTTGGAAACATTAGTAGTTTAGCAAGGGACAAGTGAATAAGACTGATGTCCATATACTTTGAAGCAGAAAACCATCTGCGTAGTGTGAGACGAATATGTAATTTTTTGGTCAGAAACGCCTACTAAGTATCCAGTATTTCTGTTTCAAATCTCGGTGGAAACGCTTTCATCAATGTGTTACAGTTTGTTGAAACATAAAATAATTATCACTTACCTGCTACTGTACATGTATATACAAGTGCCATTTGTATTATATGTTTCGTAATGAAAACTTGTTTCTTACATTTCAGCATTTTTTTCATTTGTCAGAATTCTTTTTTTCTTCCTAGTGAAAACAGTTGATTTAAAGAAATGTGAACCGGTCTGGTGGAAATGGAGTGTATTTATCCTAAAGTGAAATGGAAAATACTCCTGAATTATTAGAAAATAACTACGACGATTAGTGATAATCAAAAATATATTCACCAATGAATTTTAATGTTGCGCCACTTGTGTAGACTTTATGAAATTAAAATGGTGGACCGATACTTCAAGTGTTGACTACCAGTGCATTGCACTACCATCTAAATTCTAGGAAATTATCTCAAGTAGTAGCAAATTCTGGTAGTCTCCTTTTCGTTGCACGTTGAATTGAAGATGAAATGAAAATTTGAACCACATGGGGAGGATTTGCACTAATGGTCACTCGGTTTCAGGCTCGGTGATCGCTGGTTCAATTCTCAACGCGGTTCAAATCTTTATTTCACCTTCAATCATCACCCAGTAATAATACTAGTCTCTCAAACGATAGTTATCTCAAATAGCCAAAATGACAATCAGCATGTGGAATTATCAATCAAGTTATGAAATTTTCGTTCACATATATCTTAGCAAGTCAGTCATGTTTGGAAACCACATCAAAATGTGATACAATTACAAATTTCTGTTACAAATTACTCGTGAACATTATGCGTGACAACGGTGTTGGAAGTGGTATTTAGTTCAAAACCAGCCCACGTTTACTTTACTTTTTTAAACTGAAATATATTTCCCTATATTGGATTGTTTATTCGATACAGCACAGGGACACAGTTATTTACATGATTACCTATTGTGAAGGATTTATTACTCATAATCATATCAAAGTATGAAACGTAATTGTTATTTCACGTAAACCGTTTTCTATTACCTCGAGAAAGCATGCAATATCTCTTTCACTAAACAGCTTTATAAAACGTTGTATGTACTTGATATTATAAAAGAAAGAGCTGGACATAAGTATGTATCCCGTTACGTTAATACAGTACAATGAAAACAATGAAACAAGCGAAATTGGCACAAAAGTAAGCCGTAGGATAAAACACTGTATTTTGAGTTAGATAACAAGTGAATACTTCCTTATCACATAGATACTTAATAAAAATGATAAACAGTTACAGCTGTTCTAGAATTAAAACGTTGATGAAAGTTGTCCAGCACAGTATATTGATCTTCTTTCAGACTAACTAACAAAATGTCGAAGAAACTCGACAGAAATTGGGGTTACAACACTTAAGTCAGCTCTCAGTCATTGTCTAATAATGAATGTAGAGAACTTTGACAGTATATTCACTGGAACCCAAACCAAGTTGTGATTTGATGGCTTGAAAAAACGGACATAATAAAGAAGTGGAACTTGGGCACTGTGGTAGACTGTAATTTCATTTTAATCTGTCTATTAGAAATTTCACACAATAAAATAGTATTAATTACTGGTCAACATTTCGGACATAATTTGTTCTTCATGCTCACAGCAGATGTATCACTTTGTGCCCTTTCCAACAAGCAGACTAAAATAGAAATGAATATATGTTATACTACATAAATGTTTCAGGCATTTGTATTTCTGGATGAAATTAAAACGAAACAAGACTTTTCGATTTGATGTTCTGATATCTGGTGATGATAGCTTTGTCCCAGTTGTCACTAACCGAAATTAACCATATCCATGCGTGACAACTAGAACCGGTAGAAGGCTAGCATACTTAAAAAAGACTTTTGAACGCTTCAGCCACAGCTCTATATTCATTAGCATTGAGTCACATCATAGACATCGACACTATTCAGGAAGATTTATCCAGAAATTATCAGAACGGCTTTTAAAGTGGTAGCTTTACATATAAAGGAATCAAAATTGTTGAAGTTAGAATGAGACAATAAAACACTTGTCTAACCCGCCATGTATATACTGACATAACTCAAACACATACAATGTAAAAGACAGGCATATGTGGAAAAAACAGTCTCAGTCTATTATCCGTGCACTCATAGTATTTAACATACTCTATATTCTTGTGATCTTTCGCAATAATTTGACAGCGCAGAGTCATCCTCGCAAGTTTATCATAACTTTGGTTAAGTTATTACCACTAAAAAGTGAAACATCAGATATGATTACTGTACGAGTAAAATTTGAATACAGTGATAGAATATATTTTCATTTTAGTTGAGTTATTAGATTCATCACACAATGAGATAGTATTGTTAACTGGGTTACATTTCAGACACAACTTACTCAGATCAAGATAACTCCACAAATTTGTAACATGCTTTACATAGTTCTAATTCTCCCACCTCCTTTGTGATATGGGTAGTAAGATTTTCCATATATCTGAGATACTTCCTGATTCATACCCTCTTCAATTATTGGGTATTGACTCGATAGACACAGATTTAATCACTAATCTTTTCCTGAATCCTCATTTATCCAATCAACACCAAATACATGCAATAGAAATGACTCTGCAACTATCTCAGATATGTGGGAAATTCTACCACCCATACCATGAAGAAGGTGGGAAAAATGGAACTATGTATAGTATGTCCTAAAGTTTTGAATTTATTCTAATGTGACTATTTTGATAAATGCATTAAATTTTGATAATATTCAGTCCAACGATTTAGTTGTTTGGAGCGGTAAAACCTCCATGTTATAACTAGTGGGGGTCAAGAACATTTCCAGTGGGCATGCTTTTGATCATAAGTTTCACACTACTATTACTAATCATAATTCCCCACTATGCTAAATACTGTTTACAAACATACTTAATTACTTTTTGGATATTTTATTGAGCTTTGTATACTTCACCAGAGCTTCATAAATTTAATCCTCTTCAGTTCAACTTAACCTCTAAACACATACCATTCAACAGTTCTACACAAACACACGGATTCACTGTGTAAACAATGGTGGGGTTGGATGTAATATATGTTGGTTGATCTAAAATATTCATACATCAGTAAAAGCCTCTGAAACCTACACTTTTCTTATTTGTTCACTTTTTCCCCTCAAACCACATGTATAAAAATAATGTGTCAGCAAGATCACACAGCTCATATCATTAAACACATTTCTTTTCGGTTACATCTCACCAGTTTCTCACGATCACTAACGGTGGCAAAGAAAGCGAATTCTTCTTATGAGAATGTTATACTAATATAAGTTTTATTTAAGGAAAATTTTCTAGGATAACGTTTGTCTTCCCAATTAGCACATGAAATTAAATTGTATTTTATGCCATCTTAGCAGCTGATATTTTTTTCAAAACAGGGTTGGTGAACATTTTTGTTCTACATTTTCACACTAATTGTCAACATGTCCAATTTACACAACAGTTAGCTTTATTCTCACTAACTGAATGATGATAGGTCGCTAGCTTCCTAACTAATTAAATATAACAAACTAATTAGAAATACCCAAATTTTTCCGTTCAACTCGATATCAGTTTTAAAAACTCTATGCTAATAATCTATTTCGGTGAATACACCTAACAAACAATATGCAAACTAGCTTCATCGCATTCATGAAACAGCATATTAGTCTGTTTAAAATGCAATGATAACAACTAACTGAATTATGAGGTCAAGTTATTCAAAATATATTTCATAACATCTGAGTTTGAAGAAGAAATGAATATAAAAGAACTTCTAAAGCAGCAGATTGGTACTCATCATGAACTGATATCAGCTGGAGGACCATTGAAATCCTTATAGCACTGCACAGTTTTTGGTCCCATGATGAAACTCCTTAGCAGTGCACACCCATCAACCGGCTTTGATTCCGTTAGGTATCTGACCAATTGTTTTTCAGAGTATTCGACGAATCTCAGTATGCATATTTGATAGTTACTGATTTTTTAAAAATCAATACAGCTATGAAATACAGAGATGGTGGTGTAAACTATAAGGTGAAACTCCTCATTTGTCAGAAAAACAAAAGTATCATTGAACCTTACACAGAATTAACATTCCTGTTTGTCCTGGATTAATTGCAATTAAGCAAAAATCATTTCATAGGAATGCATTTTATCTCAATCACAAAATCTCAGAATTCATGAACATTTCGTATTCACCGTCGAAAACGTGTAGTAACAGAAGTAGAAGGTGAAGAGATATTTCAAATCTACCATAGCAGGTGGTTAATTCTGTTCAGGAATCCCAACAGATAATTGTTAGGTGATCCTGAAGTCGTCTACCACTTTCCAGTGACGCAAGGATATACACAAAGCAACATAGATTTGATTTCATCAGACACCAGGACACACTGAAAACCAGATCGACTTCATCTCGATCTCACGAAAGTGGAGACGCAGCCTACTTGACACAAGATCAAGAAGAGCAGCAGATTTAGGTTCAGACCACTATCTAGTGCAAGGAACCTAACTTCAAAATCAAGTAGAAAACCTTCAAGGAAGTTGGTGATATGCCACAGTTCAAGGCTAACACTGAGAACAGAAAGTGAAGCGCGAAACTACAAAGGACATCTTCACGTCATCAACCATCAAGCACAAATAGGAGACACTAGGCAACATCTCAGAGGAAACCTGCGAGAAAGAACATAGAAAATGCTCTGGATTCAAAATTTAGACCGGAACAGGCTGCCGGCTTCGGGAATTACAAATCATGTGCAAATCAAACTGCAACGCTACGCATCATCAGAGAACACAGTGTAGCATTGCAGTCAACTGGATCCTCACCTCAACTCCATCGATTTTCAAAAGACCTTCGACAACGTCGACCATGAAGTAATTTGTCGGCTGCTTCTACACTATGGTATTAGTGCCACAAACCTCTATCAACCTCATTCAACAGCTATATGCTATATGCTGATGATGCTGCATGCCAATTGATTCACAACAGAAAGCTCACTGACGTCTTTGAAGTGGGGGAAGGAGTAGGACAAGACTAGGATGTCTACCATCATCGATGGTCTTCCTGATTGTGATCAACTGGACTGGATCATGCAAGAAATTGTGAGGAGCGAGAA